CGGGCCATCGTTGAAGTGACTGACTGAACATAAAGAAATGCTCTTATTTTGGCAAAATGTCGACAGCAGAGGCTTGTGATCGGTCAGAGTAAAATTCCAAACATATAACATTTTGTAAAACTGTCTGACTGCGAAGAAGATGGCTAAGACTCCCTTCGCGAGTTGACTATAGTTCATCTTTGTGGACGTCAGCAAACGTGAGGCACGTATGACAGTTTTCTCGGACCCATTTGGGAAGCGATAGGAAGAAAATGCTCCGATCCCGCAGTTGGGAGTGTCGGCAACAACCAAAAAATGTGAAGCCGTAGTGCAGTTAGTAAGCATCATTCATGATACACATTAGCTAGAGGTGGAAAACACTTCAGCTACTGTGCCGCAATGCGTAGGCAATACATTCGAACATAACATGGAGTTCAGACACATGAATGCCTTCTCGCATGCAGGAGATCAATGCCAAGGAACGTCTTTCTGCCGTAGCCCACTGAGCCGGACTTGCACGTCTCGCAGCGACGGTAGGAAGGTCCTGCAGTAGCTGATAAGGTCAAAAAAGACCGCAGCCAAGAAACATCCCCGGGACTGGCATCTTCAAGGTGCTTCGGACATTTTTCGGATTACGATGCCGACCACTGGAATCAAAGATGAAGGCAAAGTACTTTATCGATCGAAAAAAGAGCTGGCATCTTTTGTTCTCAACCGGAACCCATAAACCTGGATACGTTGAAGAACTGCGACCGAGCGTCATCTGAGTGTTGGAGTACAGCCTAGGTTGAGAAGATCGTCCAAGTAAACTGCTGTACCTGAAAGACCAGTGACCATCGTGCCCACTGTTTGTTGGAAAATGCCCGGGGCGGTCTTGACACCAAACGGCAGCCCGGTTTACTGGAAGAGACTGCAGTGTGTTTTCGTTGTCAGAAAGTCGTGCGATTTTGGAGCCACTTCAACTTACAAGTAAGCATCTGCCAGGTCAAACTTTGTGATACATGTGCCTCCATTGAGCAATGTGAAGAGGTCTGCTGGAACCGGCAAACGGTAGCAGTGTGGCTTTAGTACAGCAATCAGGCCGGTGGAGAAGTTGGCACAGATGAGGACGGTTCCCTTTGACTTTCTGACCACAACGATTGGTGCTGCCCAGGCGGAAAATGACACAGATACGAGAACAATTAAGTCATCCAAACGTCTCCTTTCGGCATCGACCAAGGTCAGGACTGCATACGGAACAGACCTCTAAGGGCGGAAAACTGGTTGAGCTGCAACAAGAGTGCGTGTATAGCGCCAAAAACATACTGGAACACCGAGTCGAATCGAAAGGTGATGTCAGTTTGGTCAGATGGTACTGCCGTAGAATGCGTCGCGCTTAAGATGACACGAACAGACCAACCTATCAAACCAGTTATCGAGCCAGTGGAGACCAAGTAGATCGAGGTGAGGCAGCAGATCCCATTGAATGTAGCACACCAGAAAAAGACAGAGCAGTGTACCTGCCTGGTTACTTGAACTTGACCACTAAAGATAGTGGTGGCAGATTGGGTAGTCGAGTCGAATGGTATTATGCCCAGCCATCACCGGTCATTAAGAGATTGTCTTGATGTCCGATGCAGTGTCCAAATACAGTCCGGCGAGACGACCGTTGATCAAGAAGTCGACGAACTTCTTGCGATCAGCGGTATCGGCTTGGTCTGGGACCAGCAGGCTCATGGGGCGGCCAACCAGTCAGGTCCATTGCCTGCGTTCGGATTATGACCTTTACTCTGGACAGAATTTGTGGGCCGGGTCAGGTTTGGCCACTTTGATTGGTGGAGAATTGCAGGTTGACCAGGGTCTGACACTCTTCGGGCAGCTACTGGAGTGTAATTTTTCTGTCTTGTTGTATCATGGATGTCGGTAGTTTGGACGGAGTGGAGGCCAGAAGTAAATACGAAGCCCTCAGACTGATCTTCCGTGAGAGATCCGAGTTGAAAACATTCACACTCTCGGCTGATTATGTCTAAGTACGTAATGAATTCGTCAGCACCACGTTAGAACAAATACAGGCATTGGAAACGAGTGCAGGACGGTGGAGACTGTTCGTAAAAGACCTGTGTCATCCTTTGGATCGTTTCGGCAAAGGAAACGTTTCGGGGAATCTTCGGAAGAAGGAAGTTGACATACTGCTGATGTTCGATTGTGTCCAGTTTGCGAAGCAGCCGGACTTCCACGCATTCAGGCAAGTCAGGTAAACCGTGAATCGGTCTTTGTACTGCTTGTACCAACATTCGAAGGTGACAAGGGCCTCTCGGCTGCATATAAATTCCGAGATGCTGCCAGCAATGTGGTTCACCGATTGAAAACCGCTAACTGCATCAAGTTGTGTGGAAGAACTGGACAGTTTATCAGGCAGGACGAACATTAACCTAAACTGTTGCTGCAACGTAAACTTTAAACTAGCGTACTCGTCTATGGTTCGCAAATACTCCGTTGCCGGTTTATTATAACGCCTTCGCTTGGATACAGCGCCCCAAGGCAGTACACCATTCAGCTCTTGTGAACGGTGTTTCCCACACTGATCGTATTCGGATCGAAACGCCACGGGTGACTCAGTCTGCCAACGGCTATTTCTCACTGTACCGAGACTAACACTGACAGTCGCGAAGCTGAGAGTGAAGTAGACAGTGACCTTCAGCGGGAGCGTTTTGATAGCTCAAGCCAAAGGCGAGCACGGTCTATCATCATCAACTTCATCAACAGCAGTACATCAGCCAAATGGATTAATGTTCCGCTGCCGTACAATCATGGTGACCAACGGAGCGATGAATAATAAGAGGGAGATAAGGTAGATCTAGCGTTACACTTTTACGCCTTAATCAATCATTCAGGACCAAAGCGCGTACACCTTGTCAAGAGCGTACCTTCACAGACAGCTGATGTCATACAAGGATAGTGGAAGTAAGACACTCAATTCAAGGTCTGCGGTAGGATCACCAGGGGTGAAATGGGTAATGTGGTAAAATGGTTATACGGATAGATTAAACCCCATATTAAATAATTTCTGAAGCTGTATGAACATTTTTGGACTTTTATAAAAGTTGAATGTATTCTATAGCCAATTCGAATGGTCTGACAATATCTTACTTTGCTGCTACAATACAGGAGGCTCCGCTATCGTGTTTATGTCTGCCATGTGCTTACACTAGCAGAAAAAAACTTTCTTGAAAATAGTTAAATATTAAACTCAGACTGGTATGCGCTACATATTATTGATCAGTAAGAGTTTTTGAGTTTAGACACATTAAAAGGAACTTAATATATTTTAAGAATGCTGATTAACTTACATGGGGTAAAGTGGGTAGGTCTGTATTTCAAAGCAACTTAACACAAGTTTAATGGAGATAATGTTTGATGTTATTTGTTTCTCCCATACTGCTTTAACCAGTATACTCTAATGTGAGTTAATAGTTATATAGTTATAGATTACAGTAGATGAAAATTGCATCTATAAATATTTTTTGTTTTAGGGAAATAGTCAAAGCAAGCCCTACTTCAGCTTGAGATACGCAATATGCCATGAAATTACAATCACAAAACGACCACCAGATGTTCACCGGAAGATTTGGAAATTGCCAGCGGTGTGGGTGAAAATGTGTTTGCCATCAAACATTGGCTATGCATTTCAACCATTAGACCTTTAAAGTTGGCCTGGAAATCGATCCTGAAAAACGTGGTTTCGAGAAAGCAGACTACAGAAAGTTATTCTGTCGCTACTTAAACAACTGTTTGACCAATTGCCACAGAAAAATGTTACCAGTGGATTTAGAGGCAGTGAGATCTATCCAGTTAATAAAGAAGCCATTCAGCACAGAATTGTAACTTCCATGGATAATGTACGTGCCGTTAAGACTGTTGCAGCAGCAGTGGAACCAGAAGGACAAGGAAATGTAGTTGATGCCTGTCAAACTCGTTTCGAATAAGGTAGGAGTATCACAAGCAAGTAGGCGATAATAAAAACGATTCCACCGAAGTGCTCGCCTATTAACCAGGAAGCCAAGGGTATTGCTCGAAAAAAGGAAAGGGAGTTCAGTCGATGCCTGAAGAAGGATTAGGAACAGAGGAGGCGTCAGCCAGGTTTCTTAACGAAGAAATGGAAAGAAAAGCTATTAAATCTAAAAAGACAAGTCAAAAGAACGCCAATCTTATCCTTAGCTTGCCGATAGATGAGGAACAGGCTGGAGAAAGTAAACAAATGAGCATAGATGAAGATACATGCAATATTATCATTGGGGACTGGATTTCAGTTAAATATGAAGGTAAAAAGATTGCGCACAAGTTCTTGGGACGGGTTTTTGAGACGCCAGACGAAGGCTTGTACATGGTTAAATGTTTGACTAAATCACTGGTTGGGTACTACTGCGTATTTCCAGTAGGGATGACGCTGATGATGTTTCAGCTAAAAGCATCCTTAAAATGATCTTACAACCTGTCTGCAATAGCTGTGAGCAATTCAAATTTGACTAGCTATACGCCGGCAGTAAAATATTTATGCCAGACACTAATGACAAAGACCGTAGTATCATGATTGCATGTTTTTGCGGTAATATAGTTGTCAAAAAATTATCCCGAAATCATAGATTTTGTTAATATCATGCTTGCTTTATTATTTTACTTGATGATGGCGTTATTATTGGTGGAAGGCGATATACCCACTTAACCCCGGAGTATACTTAATTTTCCTCGGCCATGGGGTAAAACAGGTATACTACAGGGGAGATGGGTATGGGGCTTAATTCAATGTTTACATAAAAATAAATTCACTGACCCGGTTACTGTAACGTTTATAACGTAAAAGTTTAACAAAATGTACTAACAGTTCGCCCAGAGCTATTGCATGAAGAAAATGCCTAATGTACACCCAATTTCCCCGAGTGGTTAGCTAAACGAACCAAATCCCATTCGGTTCGTGAGACGAAGATCCAACTACCAGACTAAGTGATTTGATGTGTGCCACAAGATGAAACAAAAATACTCACCTCCTTCGGTGACTGTGAGAAACTCTAACAACTGGGGGAATGTAAGGTGGACTCCTAAGTCATTTCCGAAGTGGTGGATGAATGAGCATATGGCGGCAAATTCCGACTGATGTTTCAGGAACGAATTTCTGTTGGACAATTTGGTCACAATTAACAGAAAAGATTACTTTTCTTTCACTTCAGATGTTTCAGTAGAGTCACCAATTACAGTCAAACAGTTCATTTCGATTGTTTGATAAAGTGGCAGTCCTTCAAAAATGATCCATCATCGTTTGGCTGCAACAGCGAAAAGCAAACATAAAGCATAGTCTGAATTGAAGCAATGAGCCATCAAACGATATTTCTTTAGGGTTTGCTCTACGCAACATCAAAACGAGTGAATAAACAAAGTACGCTAACGACCAAGTAATGAAGCAACCAAGAATACAAAACCGCGATTAACGGAAGTCTGTTAAATAAGATACGCGAATTTGCTTACCTGATTAATGCATTGTATTGACAGGCAACTAAGAGAGTTGCAGGGTTTTCGCATCAACGAGTACACAGTATAATGAATCAACTCCGAGAGCACTTTGATGGCCGAGAGAAATTAAATCTCCAGGGAAACGCGTCATTTACATGGGAAAACGATTTGAGCCAGTGATGCAGTCGAAGCAACAAGTTGTCTCAAAAATACTTATGTCCATCACGTGACATGTGTAACCACTTTCACCCATTGTCGTGTGCATACACTTACGCCCTCGTACATTTAACATCATAAGCAACTCTTTTACCTTTCGGCTGATGCACCCACGCTGCTAGACCAGTAAAACGCATGCTTTCTACTCCGTGTCATTCCGTCTGTTGTGCTATCTTTGTCTAACGCATCACTTTACTACTGACTACACAGTGGATCGCTATCTTCGTCCTGATAAATTCGACTGATTTGAATGCTTCAGATGCTTCTAAACAGTGGAGGCATTGGCTTCAAACAGTCAACGCCTTTGTAAAGAGAGTTCATTCTGACGACTCGGATAACCTGGGCAGGCTTGTCAACTTTCTGTCTCCTACCGTGTATCAGCATGTCTGAATGCAAAGTCTTCATAAGTGTTGTTTCGCTTCTTTAGTCCCTGCATGTGCGTCCTAAAAATGAGGCTTTTCCTCGATATGTTTTAACTATGTACACGTAGGAATGTGGACAAGATAGCGACCAGTTTGTGCAGTGTCAAACTTTAAGCGGACTGCGATTTTCGTTGTCTCATCTGACGAATATTGCGATGACGCCATGGGTGACGCCCTTATAACCGGCTTACAGTCAAACAACATTCGAACAAGACTCCTGGTGCAGCCACTTAAGAATTTCCAGGCTGATTATGGTATGCCAACGTCGCTAGAGGTTGCTCTGAAACAATCAGTTTTATGGAACTGAAACCATGCCATATGCCTCGACAAATAATGTTACACGCACTCATCATCACGAAACTAATTCAGCTGAGGCTGAACTAATTGTGTCAGCGGTGCGTGCGGCAACGTGCTATTGTTGTGGATATACTAAGCACTCCCACTTAAAGTATCCAGCGAAAGATGCCACTTACAAAGCTGTGGGAGAACGGGGCATTTCGAACGTATGTGCAGATCTAAACCCGCTACTTCCTTCATCACTTCAGCACTACATCCACATTTGTCTTCTGGTTTGACGACTGCAGCTCCAAGCTGCTTGTCTCGCACAATAACCAGAATTTTCGTAAACAACACCGAACTGATGCTCTAATTGATACTGACAGTTCTGATAGCTGTGTCTCAATCCGTCGTTTACGCCCACCATTGGAAAATCTATCATTGTGACTCCAAAATCACTAGAGCTTCCACCTCTCTGTCATGCGCCTTGACTGGATATTGCAACCTGAGGATTCGCCACCAAAACGTTGTATACAACGACATTCGGGTTTTCGTTCTGTGTAATCTATGCACTCGGGCATGACTTTCTTGGCTTGCATAATAGAGTTGAAATATCATTCGGTGAGAGTCGCGGCACTTCATCGATAGGGACTAACGGCAGCCAACATTGATTCACCTTCACTATTTATCAATCTGTCTTCTGACTGCAAACCGTCCGCTACAAAGTCTCGTCGACACTCAATTGATGATGAACATTTTATAAAAAGCAAAATACAGCGACTGGTAAATGACGGCATAATTGAACAATCAAATTCTCCCTGGATGGCACAGGTACTGGCTACCAAAAAATACCAATCACAAAAGAAGAATGGTAGTTGATTACAGCCAAACGATCAACCGGTTCACATTTCGAGACGTTTATCCGTTATCACGAACTGACAAAACGATAGAAAGGATTTCTCATTATACCGTATACAGTACACTGGATCTGAAAAATGCCTATCATCAGATTCCGATCGCTGAGCACGTGAAGCCGTACACCACCTTTGAAGCATGTGGTAAACTTTTCCGATTTTTCCGTATCCCATTTGGAGTCACTAATGGTGTGGCTTATTTCCAGCATACTATCGACAGGATACCAAAACGGAAAGTCTCAGTGATACATTTGGTTATAGAAACAACGTTACTGTGTGGCTAAACTACGGACGCTCACAATCAAGACCCCTAAAAGTTCTTGACAACTGTTGCTAAATATGGCACAACTTTGAACGACACATAGACCGTCCCCGCCTGTGAGGAAATTTATCTCCTCGGTTACCATATATCTAGGGGAGACATCAAGTCCGATCCAGAGCGCATGAAACCTCTGCAGCAACTTCCATCACCAACTGATCTGAAATCCCAACGTCGCGTTGTTGGCATGTTTGCCTATTACTCAAGGTGGCTCCCTTCCTCAGAGAAAATCAGTCTCCTCGTAAAGAACCGGATGTTCCCTCTCCCATCGCATGTAGAAAGTGCATTTGAACAGTTTAAAATGGCCTTGGAAACTACTAAGGTCGTGACACTTGATTATAGTATTCTATTGGTTGTCGAAACAGACGCATCCGACATAGCTATAGCTGCCTCTCTAAGTCAGAACAATCGCCCAGTTGCTTTTTTCTCACGTACCTTATCCCCCAGCGAGAAACATCATTCAGCTGTTGAAAAATAGGCGTACGCTATTGTGGAAGCTGTCAGAAAGTGGCGACACTATCTTCTTGAGACACATTTCAAACCTATCGCTGATCAGTGGTCCGTAGCCTTTATGTACGGTGATGATCAAACAAGCAAAATTAACAACGACAAACCCCAGAGGTCGCGACTAGAACCATCTGCATACCAATATGACATAAGTTGCAGATCTGGTAAAGCTAATCGGGTTGCAGACGTACTTCTTCGTATCGTGTGCGCCTCAAATTTTAACGGCACGAAGCTACAAGACCTCCAGAACGCACTATGTCACCCAGGATGAAACAGAGTGGTTCACTTCAAGGTTCCGAATATCTATCTTACCCCATAGAAGAAGTTAAAAGTATGATTTCAAAGTACACTGTGCAGCTCTAAAACCCCGATGTTACAAGCCACTCACAGGCAGACGCATCAAAGTTATGCAGCTGTTCAAACGGTTCTGTAGGGATTTCAAAGAGCCTTTAGCTACAACGACTAGCAACAGATAGTTAATAACTGTTGTTGATGAATACAGCAGATTTCTTTTTGCATTTGCATGCCCGGATATACTTGCTTCAACCATCGTCAATTGCCTCTGCCAATTATTCGCTGTTTTTGTATGCCGGTGTACGTACACTCTGACTGAGGACCTTCGTTCATGTCTGCAGAACTTACCAAATTCCTACTGGACAAAGGAGTGACAAATAGTCACACAACTGCCTATATGCGTAAAGTCTTAACGGAACTCTTTGGAATACCAACCCACTCGCTCTACGAGCCAGAAATCTGGCGCCGCAGTGGGAAACTGCCTTCATGACGTGCTGCATTCCATCCGTTCGTTGCTTGTACTGCTACAAACACTACTCACGAACGAGTATTTTGTTTTGCCAGATGGTCAACCAACCCAACTTCCATTCCATTCTAGTTGACTGTCCCTGGCTCGGTCTTACCCAAACGAATGGTCAGGTCTTCAAAATACGAACATTTGATGGAGGAAGTCAGCCTAATCAGATGCAACCCTCATTACGCTCGTGTACGACTACATGATGGTATAGAAGAAAATGTCTCCATCAGTCGGGTGGCTCCTGAAGGAAATCTTTCAGTTTTACATATCGAAATCCAGGAGTCACCAGATACACCCCATAACCCCACAAAGCGACAATACACCAACCACAACACCAGCACTCTCAGAGAATAACTGCTCATGTGATGTCGACAGCACTTCTCTTCGTTCATCTTCCCATCCCGATATTTTAAGCCAGCAACAGAGAACATGTCCATGCGAGTTACGAAACAGGGGGGTTTGGTCTACAGATTTTTTCCTTGTAACTCCCACTCTTAAAAATGTCCTCATTTTCTGGCTGGGTGAATGTCCTCTACATACACTTGCCCCCTTATTATTATTATTAGTATTTTTGTTCATGTTACACCACAATCAACTCCTGTACCTTTCAACTGATACGCCCTCGTTGTTAGACCAGTAAAGCGGATACTTCCTAATCCGCGTCATTCCGTCTGTTGTGCTATCTCCGCCTAACGAATCACCCCTGGCTGGCGGAGTTGAACCAGCAAACACGGCAGCTGACGTAGTTGTTTCTGAGACATGAACACTTCTGGGTAGTTGTAAATATCTGTTGATTTCCGGTAGCTGCTCTTCGCTACGTTTTTGCTTCGAAGCACACTTCTGGAGCTATGAGATGAGCTCAACCGAAATAGCATAGGAGACAGATCCAACAATTGGCAATGAAAGTTTAAGTGTACGTGTTGGACCAAACTGTGTTACATGTATGCGTGTGGCATGACGAAAGGTCGACGGAGCGGAATCGCAGTGAATACACAGATAAAAGAACGCACCAAAGTATCGAGTGAGTACACTGAGAGATAACTCGAAGCTGATCAGCTCAGTTCGGTTGGTCAACCAAGATTGTAGTTCAACTTGTTAGAACTCGTTAAGCCATGAGAGAGAAGAGCGTCATAGACGAGTACCAGTATTCTATAATTATGTGGTACAAGCGAGTTTTGTGTTAGGCTCGGTTCAAGTTTGCTACAACTCATCTCCTACAATAGATCCATTGTGATAGCAATCAATGTAACACCTGAGTCTGAGCATGCGGGAGGGAGAAGCTCAACGGACATCGA